AATCGTTCCATACTTACGCAAAGTACAATTAATCTATTAAAATTAATCTCAATTAGTTGCAAGAATATTCATTATTTGGATTTTAAATTTAAACATCATGAATATAATGATATCATCTTACTATTAATTATAGAAATTATTAAATCACAAAAACATATTTCGGAATTTAATATCTCCAATCTTAAAAATAATTTCGAGATCATTTTATCCAACTTATTATTATTACACAAGAATACTTTGGTTTCGATGAGGTTGGAAGGTGTATATATTTCTGAAAATTCTGTAGATATGCTGAAACAATTTGGAAATATTAGAAAGATTAAATTACTTCACTGTAATAAACTTACTAGTGAAGTTTTACCTGATTATTCAGAATATATCGCAAAGTTAAAATATTTATATTATTATAATAAAAAATAATTGCAATTCCAAAAAATGTGATATTTTATATTCTTTTTCTTTTTTCTCTATATTATAACAATGCATTATTAAATAAAATATAAGAATAAAAGAACAAATTATTAATATTAAAATCAAAAATTAATATAAACATTGATTTATGAAATTTCAATCTAATATATATAAAAAACAAATCTTTTTTAATTTATCAAAACTATTCTAATTATTTGAATTTCAAAATCATTAAAATTATATAAATAGATAAACTATAATCACTCTTCTAGTTTTTAAAATTATATAATTATATAGTTTTTAAGAAAAATCATAAACTCTTTATATTATAATAAATATTTTTATATGTAATCATTATATTTATATATTACAGTATATATATTATATATTTAAATTTTTTTTAATAAATTAATAATAAAATATTATATTTAAGTAATAATATATAGCTAAAAAATTTTTATAAAAAACTATTATTTTATATTATTAAATTTTTATATATTTTTTACCTTTTACTTATATGTTTATTTAAAAAATTATTATTTTATTTGATTTATAATAAAAATAATTTAATATACTTTTAATCATAATATTAGTTTAATTATAAATTTTGTAATTTAAATATTACTAGGAAACAGGAACTGTTATTAAATCTAAAACAACCTACTAGTAATTGCTTTTTATCTAGACTTTTGTATAATTGCAAAAGCTAATCAGCATTGACTCAATTATTGAGCGAATGAACAGATAGATATATGTGTAATCTTAAACTTATATATATATATATAGTCTTTCATTTCATTCTGAACTAATTATAATATTCTAAAACTTATTTTTTATTACTTTATAATAATATTATATAAAAATAATAAATTATAGAAATCAAAATAAAAAGCAAATAATATTTTCTAATAAAATTATTACTAAATATTTTATATAAAAAATTATTTTATAAAATTAAATATTTAATTTTTATAAATTATAATTAAATATTTTATATAATCTATATTTAAATATATTTTTTAAATTAAAAATTATAATATAATTTTTTATTATAAATTTTAATTAAATTTTTAATGATATTAATTAGTTTAAAATGAAGTAAAGAACTATATATATATAGGTCTAAAATTATATAAAGTGTCTCATTATTCACTTGTTTAATAATTGAATCAATACTAATTGACTTTTGCAATTACACAAAAGTTTAAATAAAGTGTCAGATTTAATAATGATTTTTGTTTCTCTAGTATTATATAAATAATATATTAAATATATAAAATTTAGTTATTATTTACTTATTTATTGTCTAAAGCGTAAACGTAAAATATTATAGTTAGATCTAAAAGTATGCATATAGTTTCTGTTTTTACACATGATTTATCAAATAAGTATTATAATATAGTTGTCAAATTTTAATTATTTAAATACTTTGGACATTCTAACAGTTTTTGTTACCTAGTTTACTATAAATTTTTAGTTTTTAATTTTTAAAATTAATTATATATACTGTATATATATTTTATTTTTATTTTTTTAATTATATAAAAAAAATAAAAAATAAAATAATAAAAATTATATAAATGATATATATTTTTTATATTTTTATATTTATATATATATTTTTTTATAATATAGATAAGAAATTTATTAAAAAATTAGATTTTAAATTTTTTTTGAATTAATTAAATTAAAATATAATAATTAGATCTTATTTAGTTAAAAATTTCTCAAAATCTGATTTTTCTTATAATATTTTTATATATTTTTATATAGAAGATTTATTATTAAATTAAGTAATAAACATAATAAATTATATAATATGTAACATAATTTTAATAGCAAATCCTTTATATCTTAATTATTTTATATATTAAATTTTATATAATAGATATAATTTTTAATTAATAAAGTATATATAAATATAATAAAATAATTTAATTTAATTTATTAAAATATTTATATTGTGACTGGATGATGATCTTGATGATCATAAATCTACAAATGTGTAGCAAAGTATAAAATATTGATAATGTCAAACATATTAAACATGTTTAACATATTTGATATAGTTAATATGTTTAATATATTAGATATGTTTAATATAGTAGATATAGTTAACATAATTAATATATTAGATATGTCAATATATGTAGTAAAATAGATATAAATATGAACCCTTTTATAAGTTAGAAAGAGAGATAGACAGCTGTATAGAAAACTTTCTCTTGTAAAAGATAGCGCAATGCTACTCTTCTCTTCATGTATTTTAGTTAGCTGACGTAGGTAACCAATCTAGAAGATAGTATTTAAGAGACAACCGAGCCTATCACATGACATTATAGTTTTAGAAACAACTGGCCTATCGCGTTAGTTTTTCTTTTCTCTTTTATTATTTTATTCATGAATAAACACATTATTTTATCAATATAACTTACTTGCAATCAGTTGAATCACTGCCTAATGCAACTGTATAAATACTTTTGATAACTAGTTTAACGTAAAACTTGTAAACTGTTAAAAGAATTACTGTTCAATTAAAAAGAGTCAACCTTCTGACACCGCGTCTAACAGTTGTAATCTGAAAAGATTGCACATTAACAATATAATATTAAATATTAATATAAAATAATACTTATTTATTATTTAATAAATAATTAATTATATAAATTAAATAATTTATAAATAACTTAAAAATCTGACTATAATATATATATAA